CTAGTTTTATCCGTGAGGATAAAACCAGTGCGCGTATTAAAGATAGCTCAACTGTGTTTACGAGTAGGGTAGACCGGGGCAGTTCTAATTTAAATACATTTGTGTTTTGTAGTTTTCGACACAGTTTGCATTACAACTGCCGCTGTTACGCCATCATATCGGTGAGTCATAAATTATTTTCTATTAAATTGAGGTAATAGATCTGTGAAGATAAATTGTATATAATATATATCTGATATGTAAAAAATTTATGTATATAAATATATGCATCAAGAAAGAATATAATACTATAAATAAATATATAACACTTCAAAGATTCATTGCCTTAAAATGAATAGGTTATTTATTTCAAAATTAGGTTTAATATATAATCTGGAAGTCTATAATATATGGGTGTAAGTATTGGTCGATTTATTGTGTAAGAATACACCGCGTACAAAATTCACAGAATAGTTATATCGAGCACATTTTGCTATTCTGTTAGAAAATATTATTGTGAGATATCTCAGTTGTCCAAAATTCAGTTCAAATAATCTCGTAAGCATAAATAAAAAATACAATAAAGAATATATTTCACTGGTAGATTTAAAAAGTGATAATGTGTGGATGATAAAAAGATTTCTGTGAATAATAAATTACCTTCATATTTGGTAGAAATATTCCACTTTCTGCCGAGCATTCCCTTAGGAAAATTTACTTAAAAAAACTTAAACTTAACTTTATATATCAATTAAAACATACCTTGCGTTTCCTGGACTTTAGGCTTTTCAGAAATTGCTATAATTTTCCTCAACATAGTCCATTTATTTCTATGCTTGTCTATTAGTTTTCCTCTTGCTACTTCTGGTTTGTTATTACGTGATTTATTTTTTCCAATAGGACTGACATAATAAGTTGACCTTTTTTCTCCTTCAAAAATCTCTGCTACTTTATCAGCCAGAATGCTTATTGTTGCATTATTCAGCCGTTTTCCTTCATTTAGAAAATGGCATATAATAATTTTACACAAATTATTGCGGTCCCTATCGTTAATAGATTTTTCAACATCGTATTTTAATAATATGGCTCTTCCTACTATATACCTGTTTAACAAGCCTCTTAAATCAAAGTTAATGATATCGTATGCTGTGAATATTCTATCTATTCTATCATCCACACTAATAATGTGTACTTCATTACTGCTATTATTAGAAATTTCAGATATTTCATTTATCAAAATGTTTGACGACGTTGAAGCAATATCGCATTCTGTTGATAATGAAAGCTTTGATTTTTTTGCCACTGGTTCTATATATGTTTCTATATTCTCTGGAGGCATCTAGAAATTATATCATCGTATAAATATTTAAACAGTAAATTAATTATTAAAAATGTTTACAACAAAATGCACAAGTACTATATTTTAATAAGATAAATACTATATTTTCAGATAATGTAGTTTCTATTGTTGTATTTTCTATTGTTGTTGTTGGAGTAACTTTTGACAATGCTGCTTGAATTCTTTTCCGTTCTATTTTATGTTCTAAAATAATAGATGCATAATTATATAAGTGAAACAATAAAGAATGAGAATATGAAAAAGAAAAAGAGAATAAATTTATATTTATATTGAGAAGTGGTAAAATCTCTTCTGTCAGGAAGAGAATGTAAAGAATTATTAACAGAGGTATTCGGATTTAAAAGATCTTTAAAATATATATTTTTCAGGGAACTTTTTATAGGGAAACGAAGAAAGTGAATAACGTTAAACTTTGCAGGTTCTCGTCACCTTATTTTGAAAATTTATAATTATTTTTTAAGTAACAAAAATGCTCTTCTTTTCTGTTATATCCTGGTCACCATAAATGACAGACGGTGTAAATAATTCTAGCTGTTCTAGGTATCTGAAACGCAAAAAGCTAAAATTTTCTTATTCAGAAGAAGTATATGTGGCTATAGTCTGAACTAGAACTAAACCAATATTTCCATTCTAGGTTCTAGGCGGCTTTTTTATCAAAAATATTATTAATCAATATTAAATAAACCATTTACGATCTGAGCTTAGATTTTATAGTAGCCTAATAATATTTTTTATATACTATATTTACATATTTTTCCAACTTTAATCAACTATAATACACGCCGATTAACTTGTCAGACTGACAACACAGCTCCTATTGGATTAATAAAATCCCCTCACACCCCTGTAATTAAATCGATTTAAATAATAGTAAAGAATTTACTACTCCAACAGGAGCTGTGTTGTAAGTCTGACAAGTTAGTCAGCGCGCAATTTATTAAGATTGGAAAAAATATACGTGTAATTATACATAAAAAATATTATTAGGCTATTAAGATCCAAGCTCGGATCGTACACGGCTTATTTAATATTGATTGATTGTATAACGGTCATAAAACGGTCTTATTTCTCTTATATTATTAAAAATCAGAATAATAAATTTATTTCGCCAGTGAATAGAATAACAGTTAAAGCAGCTTAAATCGACAGTAACTGGCAATATATAACGTCTTTACCGATATGAACATTGAAAAAACCGTGAGCCAACTCGCTTTGTCGGATTCACACAGCAATTTTTCGGATCAATCATCGAGACATTATTAATTTCGACCAACGCTTTTGGTCAGAAGATGTAATTTCTAAATTAATAGTTTTTTTTATTAAAAATGTTATAACTTTTTTCAAAATTTTGTTAATAGAATGAGAATGTGAGCAATACCTTAACGAATTAATAATGCAAGGACATACAGACGTTATTACAACCATTCGAGAAAACTATTCAACATTTTATGTGTTGCTGCAGAAGAAATTAGTAATGTCGGCGGACAAATTATACGCTAATGGCTAGTGCTGCTAAAAAAGATCGTAGTATTTTAAGGATACATGCTGTAGATGATATTGCTTGTCCCTCGCTTGCAGTTTGAAAATGTTTGATTATTAAAAACATTTGATTATTAAAATCTTACATTCAAAATAACGCTTATAGCAGATAAACAAAAATCTTGTCTGTATTTGACATCACACTTGTAAAAATTAAGCGTGTAAAAAATCTGCAAAAGAAATGTAAACGTGCAAAGAAACTATTGTCAATAACATCACACATACACACACAGAAGAAAATGTAAATAATTGATTTCTTTATTATTACAATAATTTGAATATTAAAATTATTTTGTACCATATGCTTTCTCACACTTATATGTATGTGATTAATAATAAAATATGTTAATGACAAATAATAAATTACAAAAGCGTATTCTGGTTTGAAAGATCTTAAGGACGTTCTCCGGAAAATCAATTTTCTCTAGATTTTCTTGAAACTGTGAATATACATTAATTTATAGGTGTGCTTTATGTGTAGTATAAATTTTAGTACCTTTTGCGGTATTAAAAATCGAGATATTGAGCTTCAAAGTTTTAACTTTTAACACGGAATTCCTATTCCGAGGTATTGTGAAACAGACATTTTAATAAATTGTGAAAAAAGTTTTTTCTAAATGTTTTTGAAAGACTAGTATATGATGCTTTATATATAAAAATAGAAATTAATAATATGCGATAAGTTTCAATACCCTTGCGGTACTCATTTTCGAGAAATATTTGTGTAAAGTACGCGATTTGAAGTTAACTTCTTATTTTTTAGTTGTTATATGTAATATTTAGTAAATTAACTTTAGTAAAATAAATTTTTCTTTTTAAGCATGAATACAAGTTGAGTATGACTGGAGCCGGAGAAGGTCTTTAAAAATAGGTATTTTTCAGGAATTTTTTATAGGGGAACGAAGAAAGCGTATAACGTTAAACTTTGCATGTTCTTTTAATCTTATTTTAAAAATCTATTTTTATTTTTTAAGTAAAAAAAATATTCTTCTTTTTTGTTACTTTTATGTTATATCTTGATCACTAAAAGACGTAAAGTATGAGAGACGAAGTAAATGATTCTAGCTGTTCTTGAGAGAAAAGTTATACTAATGGCAACAAAAAAATATAGTTGTTCGCAGATAATAAATAATTTTGTTACAATAGCAAAATGTAATGATTCTTTGGTTGACCAAGCAAAATTTGGTAAATTTTTTGAGTTAACTAAACAATATCATTTGGTTACTCATTTGGTAAAAACATCTGTGTGTTAACATTGTAGATATATATACATATATATATAATTTTTTATATTTTCTAAGGAAGAAATTTCAATTTGTTTTTAAATTTATTTTTCATAAGTTTGCTTTAACGATTAAATCATGTACTAAGATATATTATAGCCATGTGAGTGAGGACATATGACGCTATTATTGAATACATCATAGAATAAATGTGTTGCTCGAAGTAAAAAAAAGGTTAAGATATATTGCATGACCTCCGGTTGAGAAAGATAGAAATCATTTTACGAGCATCGTCGGCAGAGAATTAATTCAACTTTCGTGGTAAAAGCGTCTTCAATGTTTTATTGATTTAGTTATTTATAAGAGACCAATGTCAATAAATTCTGAATATTGTTACAAATTTTTTATCACACTTAAAGTAATAAGTACCTACATCATAAAGGCTTGATTTAATTAGACAGCTATGAATAATGATGCTGGATTATGAGTATCATATAACAAATAACAAGATAAGTAAAATTGTTATTCAGTTTATTGTTACATATAGTAATATTTACTTACAATTAGATTTATGAGTTTTTTAAATTTATAAACTTTTTAGTTTATTGACGACAATTAATTATACTATAAATTATTCTGAAGAAATAATATACTATATTTGCAAATCAAAATTTTTTTTGAACTTGCAAAAATGTGAAGAGTAATATAAAATTTAACCCAACATTGGCATTCTCCACTTTTTTAATTAAAAAATGTATTTACTTATAAGATAATAAGGTATTTTACCGTGTAGATAAAATATCGTAGCAAAAAGCAATTTTTTATTATCAATATGATTGTCGTAATCGCGAAGAAAAACGTATCTATACATAAAAGTAATTTTATAGCGCATAGCAGAGTCGGGTGTTTCAATCAATCATTATCGTAAAATAAAAATATTAAAAGAAAATAATAAAGAAATAATCTCTATCGTAAAATCATTATCGTAAAATAAAAATATTAAAAAATAATAATAAAGAAATAATCTCTTCACATCTTCCTTAAAGCCATTTCGATGGATGTAACTTTGCTATTGCATACATCGTGCTCAGTTGTCATATTATACAAACATTTTTGTATCAGAAGCCATATTTGTTGAGATTCTTTAGGATAGCACGCATGCAATACAAAAAAGCACTTGTAGCATACGTCGACAGCTTTAAGAGCACTTTCAATTTTGTATAATGTTTTATCAATGCAAACGTAGTATGCGTTAACTGAGCTAGCGTCACGTCCCACGAAAATAATAAATGGTTGCAGAGTCAAATTTAACGCAGCTGCTCTATTCCTTTGACGTTCAATATCACGTTCAAAATCAGCAAAACTCTGGAATAACAAGAAATAAATATCTCTTTCAGCTCAACTGCAGCAATTATATTTTTACATGCATAAAATTGTTTTACATAAAATATAAAGGATATAACAATATTACTTACATTTACTGATAAAATAAAAGAATTTAATGATTCACTTATTGTAGGCTTCATGCTTCTCGTACCTTTACGAATTCTCATTGTTGGGATACATAATGCTGGCAATAGTTTTAAGAGTCTAATATTTCTTTCTTCTAAAAAAAATTGAGATTACGAAATAAATGTATCTATATTATAATAGCAAAATAATTAGATTGAATAATAATAGAAAATGTTAATTTTACGTGTTACCTTCTGATGTATTTTCATTTATTTGGTTTAATTGTTCCTCATATACTTTATCTTTAATTTCAATTTTCATGAGAGCATATATTTTTCGTGAAAACTCTGGCCATTCATTGTATATAGAAAGTATGTTTCCGAATTGTGCAGTATAATCAGATTCGATCTGTAAAAATTGTTAAAAATGATCAGTCACATGGGTTCTACGAACTTTTCAAAATAAAAATACTGCTGTTAAAATATTCACCAGTTTGTAACCCTGCGGATGTTTTAAAATTGGCCATTTCGTAAAAATGAGATGAACATTTCCATCCTTGTGTGTAGTCATATCCATTATTCTAGCAAGTCGACTTGCCTCCCAATGTTCAACAACATCGGTCCATGGTTCCTGATTATATTTTAACCATTGCAGATGAGGTTCGCACAGTTTTAAACCTACACATATAATATGTCTTTTTCATTTTATAGTAAATAATTCTTATGTATAGTAACTTTTATTTATTTATTTTTCCAAAAGAAATAGTTA